TTGTCCCAAATTAATAAATTTACTCAATATTTTCCTTAAAGTATTGCTATTAACTATATGAAATGTTGGCAGGCTTCCTCAAAGAAAATTTGTAAATTCCAGGTGCTCTGCCCCTTGGATTTGTGTAAAGCCTCAGCACCTCCAATCTGGATTTAGGATATGTACCAGTTTATAATATGACATTTCCATCTCACTTCCTTAATTTTGTGAGCTATATACTGAACTATCCTACTAGACAATTCTAGAGAAAACTCGCAGAATCTATAAATCAGTTAGAATTGTTCTAATTTGAATTTTTAAGTTGTACATATTTTGAAAGGCAAAACTATTTGCAATAAGATGGTGTAAGTTGTATAAATCCTTTGAAGATCATTAGAGGTCCTCACTGATCTTCGTTAATCATCTCCAGAAGGCAAATGTGGGTGTTAAACAGCGAGTAGATTCTCCTCTCCCCCACGACCGCAGACCATTCATATTTGCCACCGGTAACTTTGCTGCAAATGCTGGAATAACGTAGATGATGCTGAAGCATCTTTCCAAATTGTGTGATCATTGTAGCGCTGCTTTGAATACCTAAGAACATGGCAATAGTCACACATCAGTAAATGTCCAGTAATTTATCCATTGACTGTGTCTTATAAATAACAAAAGATTTGATTGAACATAACCATGACTTTACCCCTCTCCATCCTCAGGCAAAAGTCAAAAGAGCTAATACATTAGGCTTTAATAAATTTGCTATTATAATTACTAAATATGAGCTCCTCCATTGGACTAATTATGTAATTGATTATCTGCGAAAAACAGGATTTTAAGATTAATTGTGTTTTACTTAGACTGATTTTCTTTTCTTGCATAGACTAACTTTATTATTTGAACTAGATTGTGTACATCAACATCTCATAAACTATTTAACTGAGAAATACCTATTGTATTCAAGCATAGCTAGCCTTTATTTGTTTGTGTTTGTTTTGCTTTGTTTGGTATCAGGGATCAAACTCAGGACCTGGAGATGCTGGGCAAGCCCTTACGCCACTGGGCTACCTCCCTGGCCCTTCTAGCTAGTCGTTACAAAGACATTATATGGGTAAAACCTATAAGGCCCCTAAAAATTAGTCATAATTCATTTTCTCTTTTCATCAAACGTTATGTCATGAGCATCTCACTCATGGTGTACTGCTTTGTACAGATGACGTAGAGACAGCTCTTAAGTTTCTGGATTCCATGTTTTTCTTCCTGGCTTCTGTAGTCACATCGTGAGGTAATAGCAGTGCTCCCAGTCCCCGGGGTTTTCTTTCAGTAAAGCCAATGTTGTGCTGCATATAGAGGCTACTTGTTTTGATTCCTCAGAAGAATGAAGTTCCTTAAAGGTTTGGCACTTCATATAAATATTTTTCATACTGCCCTCATGTAAGTATTCAAGGGTCTTTAAGGGAACCCTTTTACTCTTATACATGTGTACATATATGTACAGTGATGCATGACTACACACAGAATTATCAGCTACATGGGACATAATTAAGAGCATTCTGGGCTCCAGACTGATGGTCTTATGAGCAGAATTGCAGAGAATACTTTTCGATTACAAATAAATATTGGTAATGTGAAGAAATGAAGACTCAATATTTTGGGTCAGGCTAATGGCCTGCAGTAATTTGACAGTGGACAAAGCTCAGCAAATTTTGAATGGATTTGTTCCTGGATCCATTTCTATTTGTTTTTGGCAGCAAAAGGAGAATAATTGATCCAATCTCATTAGAAGTTTTCTCCCAGAGATCACCTTCAAATGCCAAAGGCATAATTTTACAAAATTTACACACATGAAGCTTAAAATGGAGCATTACTTTATCATTGCTAAGCAAAAGAGGAGCCTTGGCTAAGGGGAAGGGATGCCTTTGTAACATTTGTGCAAACAAATTTCCTTTTTTTCCTGTTGATTTCTCTAAATACCCTCTCGATTCTGTTACTTGACACATGAAAACTGATTTCTGAGGAGGATATTTTAAGTTAATATTTAAACACAGTTTTTCTCTTTTTTTTTTTGATAAAAATGGCTTCAAAATTTGAACTGCAGATTTTTCACATATTTGAGTTTTCTTTCTGTAGTGCATGCAACACATTGGCTGACAAAAGAAACAAGCAAGCAAATAAAATAGCAAACCAAAAATGAGTGAGGCCATCAACATGCATGGCCTGGCTTTTTAATTATTTACTTTTTTCCCTGAAGCATTCATAATCAACAGAGATTACCTGGTATAAATTATGGCTCTTCTATAAAAAATAGAAAGGAGGCTGAGCATGTGCCCCCATTTCTCTGCCAGTATTAATTAGTCCAATTGAAGCTACTTTATTGTTTACAATAATAGTTTATATTGTGATAGGAAATTTGGAAATGCAGAAAATTACAGATAGACATACAAACTGTTGGTAGTATTCCTACCAAGAAACATAACCATGCAACTTATTTGGCATAATCTTTTGATCCTTTTCTGTATGAAATACATGCATTTTGAACTTATAAAATTGTCATCACATAGTTTATGGAATTTTTTTAAAAGCTAAAAGTTCAAAACATTGTAAAAGGAGGCCCTTTCCCAAATACGTCACCATGTTCCTGTCTGCTATCTAAAAGCTTTATTTAAAAATGAGTTTCAATATTCCGTGGCATCGCTGTCATGTTTTTTTTTAAATCTCACTCCCAGATAAGGAAATTGCTACTACTAGGCGTAGATTGCTTTTGGTCTGTGAGACCTTGAGTGGGCTGCTTGATCCAGAAAGAAGACAAATGCATGTATATTCTGAGTAAGAATGACTGCAGGTGTCACCTAATAGGAAAGAAATAAAGATGCTGTTCGGAACTTGCAAGAGGCTGAGAATGTACCGAAGTGAAATGATAACGAAAGATATATATGTTTATGTCATAATTCACTTTTTTGTACTCAGTAATTTCTGAAAAGAGTTCTGTGAAATCAGATGAACTTAATGAGTGAAGTGAGGCCTGTTTGTGGGTGTTCAGTGAGGCAGGAACAAGTGTGAAAGGCAATTTTGTCTCTGTTTTGGATCTCAAGAATCAGTCGCAGAGGCCAGAGTGAACACCTCATCTGAAATGAAAAGGAGGCTACCATTTAATGCCAGATAGTTACCACAAGGTTCATGAATTCAAGATTTCAAAACCATCAAAAGATACGTAATATAATGCGTGGTTAGAGACTGAGGGCTTCAGGATTCATGTCTACCAATTTTCCTTTTCTCAATTAAGACAGCCTCATGCATATTTTCAAAGGACTATTTTATTCCTGCTAACTACTTTACTTACTAATACATTCATAACTTTATCAATAAGTCTGATTTTTATGCCATTTTAAATGCTTAAGTATGGCAGGACTCAAGCTAATCTATGTGTTATTAGGCATCTTCCATCTGCAGAATTAGACTTTTATGTTTATTAAGAAATCATCCAGATGTAGGTTCACTCTCTTTCCCACACTGTTCTCTCACTTATCACAGCGGTGGTGTTTGTTTGACTGCTTCCTTAGGACTCCGGGCTGTGATGTGCTACAATTCCCATTTGTATAGTACAGATATATGTGGAGCACCCAGGTGTGCAATTATGTGTTCAATAACAGAAAACGTAAAAGAAATCTAGAGAGGGATCCTGGGACCATCGACCAAGAAATAACCCAAACAAATAATGAAGGAATAGGCAATATATTTTTGGGCTGTAGAGTTGAATTCTGAATGATTTAAAAAAAATAATGATTTGGAATGGTGATCTGAACCCCATTAACTATAGATTAGTTTCAGAATGTATCTTTCAAAGAGATACAAAACAAACTGGATTTTATTAAAAAATAAAGTGTTTAATAAGAAAGTATTTAATAATAGCAGGCATACCTGAAGAATATTTTTGAAAACTACAAATAATTTGCTAAAATTTTAAACAAATCATTTTATGACAAGCTCATGTTCACTATTTTTATTCTTTTATGTTGAAAAATAAATTCTGAATGTAAAGTAATAGAAATGTTTTGAATTAAAATATTATCTTCCTCTCAGTGAAGAGAGATAATACTTCTTATGTCTTAATGAAACACATACTTTTCTTCTTTCAAATTATACTATTTTTGGCAAAAAATACATTTTTATATTGTACCTGCAATATGTCTAAGAAAATATTCTTCATAACTGAAAGAGATGCTTTTTGTATGAACAAAGAAGGAAGTAGGCAGTACAACAAGAAGAATAAAGAATTTATTATTTGTTTTACTCAGAATGCTTTAATGATTTTTATTTTCCTTTTCCTTCCTTTCTTCTTTAATTTCATCTTTCCTTCCTTTCTCCTTCCTTCCCTCCTGTCTCCCTTCTTTTCGTTTCTTTCTTTCTTTCTGTCTGTCTTTCTTTCCTTCTTTTTCTCTCTTTTTGTTCTTCTGTCATGGGCGTAGTGTCCCCTTGTTGGAACCCAGGGCCTTATCTATGTTAAGCTATAGTTCTGCTGAGCTACGCCTACAGTGATTTCTAAGAAATAATTTTTTTATTTTTCTTTCCTCATTTATTAAAGGCAGAGTCTTGCACTATGTTGCCTGGCTTGCAGTAGTCAAGCTGCCTTAGTCTCCAGAGTAGCTGGGAATACAGGTCTCTACTGCCATCTCTGGTTAATTCTTACAATAATTTGTTTGTTTGTTTGTTTGTTTTGGGGTTTTCTTTCTAGGGCCTTCTATTTTTGTTTTGTAGTAGAACATAGGTATACATGGAGTATGTATAAAAATAATTTAAGTATAATCACAAGGCTATTTACTTGTTGGTGCTGTAATAGTTCAGAAGGTAGAGCTTCATAGTGGAGTTCTGGTACACTTTTCAGTAGAGGGTATCACAGAGTTTTCAGTGTATCAGTTTAAATCTAGTTTGATACGACACCAGGATTCAACCTGTGCAAATTAACATGCATAATGTAAGTATTCCTCATTTCAGTTACTTAGATCATTATTTTAAAATATTCTTAGCAATTGGTTTGGATTCTTGTCCTGAGCCGCAGACTCCGAGCAGTGGAATCAAAATTGGAGACCGATACATGGTTGGGGACGTGGTGTCCTTCCAGTGTAGTCAAGGCTATTCTCTGCAGGTGAGTCTATTTTGATATTATAGCTTTTTTTTTCATTATCTTTTTAGCACATTTTAACAGACTAATGATTGACTATCCATAGATGTTTCAAAAATCTTCATCTTAGCCTGCTAGTTTATGCTGAAAGTATAGTGTTCTAGCCAGGGAGGTAGCTCACTGGTCTAAACAGCTGCCTGGAAAGCACAAGGACCTGGGTTCTATCCCTGTTACTGCATGCCATGCTGTCCCTGTGCCAAGCCAGCCACCAAAACCTGGCGTGGTGGTGTACAACTATAATCCCAGCACTGGGGATGCTGAGACAGGCGGATCACTATGAATCCGAGCTGTGTAGTGACACTCTGTACCAAATAGATAAATAAATAAATAAATAAAGATGGAAAACATTTTTTTTAAAATATAGAATGTTCATAAAATAGATTATGAGAGAAAATACTGGCATGTACAAAATTTGTTTTGTTTGGAAATAAAAATGATTTTGAGTCAAAGTGAATCTTCATTTTTGTCACTTTTCAGTTAGGATTCTGATAACTTCTGAATATTTAAAATTTGGAAATAAGGCAAAGCATTAGGGAAAACAATAAAAAAATTAATAATAAAATCTCCAAAGTAGTGCATATCCACAATAAATACATTTAGGATTTGGAAAGTCTATTCTGATTTTATATGAATATATTTGTGTATATGCAGGAGTTTTGTCCCATTGCTGTGACAAAATACTTGACTAAAACAATTTAAAGGAGGAAAGAGTCATTCTGAGTGGCTGTGTCAAAGGTCTCAGCCCAAGGTCCTTTGGTTTCCGAAGCTTCCCAGTTATGCTTAGGCAAATCCATCACAGTGGGAACAACAAAGCTGTTCACCACACAAAAGCTGATAAAATACAAGGAAAGAGGGGGAGAGGGGGAGAAAAGAAGGGGAAGGAGAGGGAGAGCGAGCGGGAAGGCTGCCTCTGGCTCTGCAGGCAGGCTTTCTCCTTACCTCATTTTGTTCTGTCCACACCCCACTCTGCTTACTGGATGGTGCTGCCTATCTGAAGGGCGGGTCTCACCCTTAATTTGCTGTTTCTCATGCCGGTCATCTCTGGAAACACCTTCACTGACTTGCCAGGGAGTGTGCTCACTAATTCCGCAGGTGTTTCTCAAGCCAGTCAAGTGGACAATTAAGGTCAAAGGTCACAATATTGATCCTTTTTTGAAGGTTCTTTTTGGAAGGAATGAATTGTAAAGTCTTATAAAAATGTGTCACAAATTATATCCTCCATGAAATGCTTCACATAGAATTAGAATCAGAAATTATGTCACACATTAATACATTCCTTGGTGGGTGTGGTAGCCTGCACCTATATTCCCTACACTCTAGGAGGCTGAGGTGGAAGGATTGCAAATTTGAATTCAGCAGGTGCAATTTAGGAATTCAGCAACATAGCAAGTAGCCTGTCATAGAGCAAAAAGTGAAAAAGCAGTGGGGAATTAGCTCAGTGTGAAACCCTTGAATTCAGACCCTAGTATTGGACAAAAAGCAAAATGTAAAGGTTAATAATCTATAATAATGAAAATTATACTATGAATGATTATTCTTGGAGTGTAATCAATTTGTAGACCTCATATTTCAATGCTTTGACCTGTTTTAGTGTTTGTAAAAGGAACTTTGCAATAATTTTTAACTTGTCTCACCTTGAATATTATGGAATTTCATTAACTACTGTATCAATAGCCCTTCATATGTAGGTGCATTGCAGTAACTTAGTAGAACATTTTGATAGAAAAATATTAAAACCACAATTCTAATGTGATGTGAAGTCTTATTATTCTATAATGACCACAGTTTTTTTATACTTTATCATAAGTACATGTAAATATCTTTCTTATTTCAAGCTATAGAAAGATTTCCAAGAGGAAAGTGAAATAGAATATACGAAGTTCACCAAAAATATACCAGGAAAACAAAAGCTTATATAAATATTTTAATTATAAATTTACTGAGATATCATGGGATCAATACAAGTTACCTCTGGCCTCTGTAATCACAAGATATGTTCAGACTGGTTCCCATTCACTTCAGACACTTTGTGGTATGGTGATCTGCTGAAGTGTGCATATGTAACTGCATTTTAATAATAATCATTCAATATGCTACATCTAATTTAGACTTCTTATAAATGTGTACTGCACTGTGTTATCTTCCCTACGTAGGGCCATTCTCACATTACGTGCATGCCTGGACCAGTCAGAAGATGGAACTATCCCATCCCTATTTGTCTGGGTAAGTTGAAAGATTGTAAGGTATATTTTTTAAATCAAATTTAAAAGATGCAGCCTGTACAAATATATAGTTTGCCCCATTACTGTTTTTTTTGCAATAATATTTTAAGATAAGTGGTTCGTTTCAAATATTTGCCAACTTTAAAAACTTTTAAACCCAAAGGTATTTTTAAGCCCTTTTAATATCAAGAAAGGAATTAAAACTGTAGAAATTGAGAAGGTATTAGGATTCAGTATTATTTTGTATTTGATTCCTATGCTTTCTTTCTTTCTTTTTTTTTTTTTTTGCAAGTATGGCATGATAGAAATACCTATACATTAGAAAAATATGTAATATCTCATTGTTTTATTTTGAGGCTGAATAGATAAGGAACTTGAAGGCTCTACCAAAGGAACATTGACACCTTATGGAATGTCTTGGTGACAGACAAATGAGATACTGAATATGTCGAAAGACACTTGGGCATTTTGAAATTATGAAACCACATAATTCTGCACTAATACCAATTCCAAATTATATTTATCCATCCTTTTTTCTCTTTTTCGTTTTGGTACCTATGCAACCATTAATATATTGAGTGCTGCAGAATGCAGAAAGGAAATGTGAGGTATCATTCCTATCTTTAATCCAGTCATTTACAGGGTGGGAATGCAAGAAATGACATAAAGATGATTTAGTGTGAAATGACCCAGTTGGATGCATTATGGAATTTCAGAAGGGAGAATGCTGTTAACTGGATCATTGCAAACCTAGTGAGCCCACAGAGCCATATATTGGGGTAACTAACTTTCATTAAGGTCTATAGCCGGAAGAATCGGCTCTTCCTTGGAAGGAAACTCAAGCGAGCTCCCGAGACTTGTACGCCTGACCTCTGCGCGGAGGCCATGCGGTTTACATTGTGCTGCAAAATCTGCTCAGGCACCGTGACGTCATGCTCTAGTTGGCGGCCTCGACCACAGAAGCAACTTGTCTCACGTTCTAAAAATGCTGAGTCGTAAAAACAGTTGCTGGTGGTTGTTTTCTTCCAAGGGCCTCCCTTATTGGCCCCGATAGCTGGCTCCTCTCTTTGTGTTTACGTGGTCTTCTCCACGTGCACGTATACTTTCCAGTGACTTCTGTTCCCCTGATAAGATTATTTGTTATAATTAGGGTCCACCCTTGTACCTGTCCAAGTACAGTTATATTGGACGTTAGGATTTCAATGTGGGATTATTTTTTGGAAGGTGGACACAATTCTTGATGGTAAGTATGGGAATAAAAATACATTTCACGGGCAAGATTGCAATCACTCAAATTTTAGAATGGGTGGTATTTTTTAAAGGAAATGTTTTAGGTACTGTAGGTAATTGATAAAAGTATGTTATGTCAATTTAAGTATGTTAACATAAAACGGCAGAAAAATTTTGTAGTTGAATAATACTAATTATACGTATAAATATACAGCCTGTTTGGAACATACACTATTGAGCATAAAAATCTGATAATGTGAGAGTACAGAGAATGAACTATGTAACGTGCTTATTCTGCAGATAATACAGGAGGATGTTTAGGTTCTCTTTTTTTATTGCTATGTCCCAATATCTAGGAAAGTTCTCTTTTTTTGATAAAGTTCTCATGAATATTGTGTAATGAACTAATAAAATGATTATGGATTCTATAATATATAACTTTATAATGTTTACTTTAACATTAATTTATAAGAATTTCCCATGCCATATTAATTTGATTTTTAATTTGGGTTCATGTTACCTATTATTGTCTAATGTAAAAAACTTCTTTTTTGTTTTTTTTTTGCCTTTTGATATTATACTTAACACATTTTTACCCGTGTTCATATATAACTAATTATTTGCTTAGAATATTGCCTGAGTAGGCCTGGGGATGCAATTCAGTACAGCCTAGTATATTTGGATTTGATTCCTCAGCCTAAGGGGGAAAAATACCTAGATAGATGAATTTTGTCATTAGATATAATGATTTTGTTATATAGATGTAAAAGTTTTGTTGGCCATTATTAAATTGCTTTCAGAAGTCATGCCAATTTAAATACCAAGTATTTTTTGTTTATTAGTTTTATCTTATTTTATTTGCAAGAGTAAAAACAAAAGCAAAAACAAGTAGCAGAAACAAAGACAGAAGTAGGACAACAAACAGCAATATGTATATTACAGATTTTCAAAACAAGAATAGCTAATAAAAATGGTTGCTCTATGATCTATTTTATCATCAGATCAGTTCCTCAGATTAACTGAAATAGTTATGCAAGAATGGACATATAATTATCAGCACTTGCCTTCAAGAAACCATATTTTTTCTATTTTCTTGTCTTCTGTACTTTTTAAGGTTTATTTTATAGACAGTATAATAATAAGTTGATAAGACATTAGAATAAATACACATTTAGAAGATCAAGATGAAAGGCATTCAACCATGGTTTTGTGTTACACGTTGCTGTCTTTTATCTAGCTGTTTAGATCATAGATATCAACATACAGAGTTAGTGAAGGTGAAAATTCTGAACATTAACTGCTATTTTTAAAAAACTGATAGAAATTGTTAATGCAATTATCTCAGCCATCCTGTATATATACATGCATGTTTTTTCCCTTCCTTTTTTCCTATCTTTTATTCTTTCCCTAATCTTTATTGTTTAATCCTTAAGTTCAGAAATCCAAGTATTATATGATCATTCCAATCCAACAGATAAAGAACATTGAATATTATTATTTGAAAATTGTTAATATTTAGATGAATTAAGTTATAGTGTATTTGGGGGAAAACCTGCTTTTCACTGTGTATTTTAACAAGGCAAATAATAGAAGTGATATTTAAAGAAATTAAACTGTAGAGTTAAAGTTTTATTGTATAGGTTACATTAGTATGAACCTATTTAGAATACTAATCAGACTTTTATGTTCAATAATATCATACTGAAATTTCAGGTTAAGGTAAAATTGCTACGTTATGTATTTTTGGAGCTTGTTTATTCACCTGTTAAATAAGATAAAGATGTTTATCTCTCGGGTTTATTGTGAGGATCAAATTGAGAGAATGTTTCTAAAGTATTTAACACTGAACCTGGTGTACAGAAGGATTTCATAGTGGTAGCTATTAGAGTAAAAAATTGGCAATTACTTAAGGGTCTAATAATAGAGCATAGATTTTTAGAATAGGGAAAAAACAGTATAATGTAATATCTCATGACAAGAACAAAGTTTATTATACAAAACTATATATAAGCTGGCTTAACACCATTCACAGTATGACCAGATTTTCATTATGCACACATATAGACAAGCACAAATACTTACACAGAGGAAAATAGAATGTAAAGAGAAAATGGTTATCAGTGGGAGGTTCAACTGGAGGACATTATTTTCCCTTCTCAACTTTTTGTGTGTGTGTTTTATAGATTTTGAACAATAAGCCTATACTCCATTTGTGAGAAAATTAAACATTTTCAGGAACACTGTGGACACATTGAGGTGGGTGCAGAAGGCAGGAGGTGGATTCAGGGAATGTGTTAAAACCCGAGTCATCGGGTAGCAAGGTTACAGACTCGTGAACTGGAAAATGAGCAAGCTGTCAGGTATTTTGTTGGAAGGATGGAAAATGCATTTGAGATTTTAGGTATTTGAAATGAGTAAGGAGAAAGCATTCAAAATGATTTTATCTTGGAGAACTCACTTCTGGTCAGATTCGTAACAGAATGAATGCAATGGGGCACGTAAGAAGGTCCTCAAAACTCACTGATAACACAGAATTGGCACTCAGGGACTGAGACGACATGAGTTTGCTGACACCAAGGAGCTAGAGAAGGACCAAAAGCAGAAGGCAGTTTTATTTTTTGGTATTGTTGATGTGATTTTTCATCAGTTGTCACTCTTCCCTCTTCATTCCCTGCTTTCCATGAACTTTTTCTTCTTCATTCTTTGACTTAGGGACTTCACTAGGGATAGGAATGGGTGATGCAGAGGACAGCATTTGTAGATCATATAGAGAAATGGAAAGTGGCAGAAAGGAGGGAACAAGAGCATCTCATAGATTTGCAATTGTAAAGACAATAAATGAAAGCTCGTCTTGGTCTTGTACCCACAGTTTAGAACACAGCCAAGATACAGCTATAAATGCAGTCTTGCTAAAAACTTAAAAAATATTTGATTGATATAATTATTCTTTATAATTAATTTATTGGAAAGTTTTTAATGAGTGTATGTGGACAATGGAATTTTAGAAAATTCTTTTGTGTTAAGGAGAAATGTTACACTGTGTGCGGTGGGGCTCACCTGTAATCCCAGTTCTTGGGAGGCTGTAAACAGGCGGATCACTACGAATCTGATCTAGTAGTAAGACCCTGAACACCCTGTAGGTCCTTCCCTAAAATCCAAAAAAAGAAAGGATGGATGCTGAGGTTTTAAAGAATTGTGATAAGTTACACATCAGTTCTTTGAGAGCTTGATAGCAATCCCAAATTTGAAAGAAATGTCCATATTCTTATTGATTCTTGGTACTAAATCAACATTTTGTATGTTTATTCATTATTAAAATCTGCTTGAGCCATGATTAACAATATTCAGTTGTCACTGTAAATGACCAGTGTCAAACTGGTTATGATATTGTATAAGACATTGACAAAAATCCTATTAAATTTGTCTTTGAGATTTATAACTTAAAATTTGTTTTCCTATCT